CGTGGGTAGAGACACCGGCTGTCAGACCGGAGCACAGCCAGCAGCGCCGCAGCACTGCCCCACGCAGATCCATCTAAGCTGCTGAAGTAAGGCGCAGCCCCATCTGTCGAAGGCGAGCCAAGGCAATGCAGCTTTTTATTCCGACCCCCCAGGCACGCCTGCCAGCCCTGCTGCTCTAGGATTGCTAGACGTGTAGCCTCAGCTTTAGTGGGGGACCGCAAGCAAGTGGCGGACCCCCGTGGGTAGAGACACCGGCTGTCAGACCGGAGCACAGCCAGCAGCGCCGCAGCACTGCCCCACGCAGATCCATCTAAGCCGCTGAAGTAAGGCGCAGCCCCATCTGTCGAAGGCGAGCCAAGGCAATGCGGCTTTTAATTCCGACCCCCCAGGCACGCCTGCCAGCCCTGCTGCTCTAGGATTGCTAGACGTGTAGCCTCAGCTTTAGTGGGGGACCGCAAGCAAGTGGCGGACCCCCGTGGGTAGAGACACCGGCTGTCAGACCGGAGCACAGCCAGCAGCGCCGCAGCACTGCCCCACACAGATCCATCTAAGCCGCTGAAGTAAGGCGCAGCCCCATCTGTCGAAGGCGAGCCAAGGCAATGCGGCTTTTTATTCCGACCCCCCAGGCACGCCTGCCAGCCCTGCTGCTCTAGGATTGCTAGACGTGTAGCCTCAGCTTTAGTGGGGGACCGCAAGCAAGTGGCGGACCCCCGTGGGTAGAGACACCGGCTGTCAGACCGGAGCACAGCCAGCAGCGCCGCAGCACTGCCCCACACAGATCCATCTAAGCCGCTGAAGTAAGGTGCAGCCCCATCTGTCGAAGGCGAGCCAAGGCAATGCGGCTGTGCAATTACCACGGGGCGCTAGACGTATCATCAAATATGACAGTACTTGCCTACCTGATGTTGGAGGCCTTTCTCCTTGTCTACTTTGACACCCGACACTGGCCGTGTAGTCGCAGCCGCCTGGACCGTCTTCGGCTGCTCCACTTCAGGTTTCCATCGAATGCTAGCCGGGTCGCTTGTTAAGGTGAGTAGTTTCTTGTCAGTGCTTCCCGAATGCGGGGGTGGAAGCGAGAATTCTCGGAGACCAGCACGCGCTTTTAGCGCTGCTTTCAGCGACGACGCCAACTGTCCCATAATGTTGGAGCCGAAGATTGCGTCGTCATCATCGTCGCTAACACATGGCCCTTCATCCTGGACATCGGTAATCCTGCCCTCTTTCCCTCTGCTGCCTTCTTCGCTGCTCTCTTCCCCGCTGCTCTCTTCCCCCATGCTGTCTTCCCCGCTGCTCTCTTCCCCGCTGCTCTCTTCCCCGCTGCTCTCTTCCCCGCTGCTGTCTTCCCCGCTGCTCTCTTCACCGCCGCTCTCTCCAGCACCTCCACCCTGAACGCCGCCCTTTTCACCGCTTCGCGCCACATCGTCGCCTTCTTCAACGCCGGTCTCTTTCCTGCTGATCTCGATTCCGCCGGTCTCTTTCCAGCTGACCTTGCTCATACGGCCCTCCTCTGTAGAGTTCAAGTGTTCAATGCCACTGCCGAGAACGTCTTCAACAGGCAGCGATGCGTCCGCGCCCGCTATTGGATATCCAGCTGCGTTAGAAGCTGGGGAGTTTACAACAACCGTCATGTTTACTCCACTCGCCCCTAATATCATGTCATGAAGCAAGGGCCGCACTAACCTCCGTCTTGATGCGATGCATCCGTTGATGTGCCTTCAATTACAGGTTCAGTATATGCCGTTTTCCCTGTGGGAAGGACGTAATCAATACCACTCGGCTCACTGACTAACATCTTAGCTGTGACCCGCACCTGCTAAGGGATCCTAAGATTCACGTTCCTGCTGCGGTTCACTTTCGATAAGCTTTGGCTGCTCTGTGTCAGGGTCTGCTATTGCGACGGCCGCCGCCGATCTCCCGCGACCTCGGCCCCGTGCAGATCCTCGGCCTCGCCCACGCTGCGAGGTGCTTGGCGTAGCAGCCTGTGGAACTGAAGTGGTAACTTGCCGCTGAGAACCGCGACGAGTTGTCACCATGTCCTATCTTTAGACACGTTTCCTCGTTCACTTAACACAATTACTCCGTACTAAGCCTCAGGATGAAAGTAAGAAGAAGTTTGCTGTTAAATCAGCTATTAATGTATGTTCGTTTGTACATCATTCGTTATCCTTAACTCACTACGTACAGATTCATAGAAGGAGACCCTATGTCAGAATCAGTATATTGAGATAAACCCATGGCACCTAGGTGAAAGAATATCGGATAGCTAACGTGCATATCGCAACTCGCATTCTTCTGCTGTGTACGATCAACAGGAAACGGAAAGTCCGAATCCAGCCCAGCTCCTCGGAACGTCGATAGCACCTCGTGTTTGCACGGGCTGACCTCGACACCACCCGTCAGGATATCATTTCGCCGCGTACCCTTCTAATGGCAGTGGGGGTGTAGCTGCAAGCGCCGTGACATCTCACTATCTACACTAGGATTTCCCCAGCTTAGCGTTCATGGGGTCGAATGTGCCAGGCAATACCCTGTCACATTACTGTCTCAAAAAGATCAGTATCAAGGTAATAAAGCGCCAACAGATTCAAATGGACCTGTCCATCACATTAGGCATGGACCGGTTCATCACAGCGTCCTCCAAGCCGTTCACCACCCCTCGCCAGGTTGATGCACAAACACGACGCGAGGCTGCAACTCACTGCGGTCTTAACCTTAAAACCCAAATCACCGCACGCATCCAGCGACCAAGGAATTCTTGCAAAAGCGTGCACTCCTATGACGGCCAGTCCACAATACCCACATGGCGTCCTGCTCTATAGCTGACACGAAGCGCAACACACCGCCTCGGATATGTACGTAAGGAACGCGTTGTTCACGCAAAACTTGAACATAGACTGCCCTGACAGTTGCCGACGAAGCTGGAGAGCAACGTGAAAACCTGCCCACGCCTCTTGCGTCCTGCCTGTGACACGTTGCAGATGGATGGGCTTTGGAGATGCCACCATGCCGCACCTTAGACAACCAACAAGCATCCTAGCTGCTCAACTCATATCACCTTCAGGCTACCAAAACATCGAGAGAAGAGAAGGAAGTCAAAATCAAGCAAAGCAAAGCAGCTGAAAATGCAATGTCCGATCAACAGCCGGCCTGACGCTTACTTCGGGACTCGTATTGTGCGTTTCGTGTTATGAGCGGCTATTGAGCTGCATTCCTCTGGGGCGCCTTCGCCCGCTGTGCCTCTAGGACTGCCGCTGTGGGCCGCAGCTCACTCCACGTATTCATGGTTGCTAAGATTTGAGTAAACGACGGGCGCTCCTTTGGGTTTGTGGCCCAGCAGCTCTGGATGAGGTTCGTTACCGCCGGATCCAGGTCGGTCGGCAGATCCATACGCCTCCCGGAAAAACCCACCACGCCAACCACCTGCAGAGGAATACGCAGAACAGACGCATTCCACAGACCTGGAAGCAGAATCTGCCTTAGGAAACCAGGAGGCACTTTTATTTTACATAAAAGACGCAGGCAAACATCAAGGATTGAGGTAGGGAATGCCGTACAAGGTGAAGGATGCAAGGCTTGTCCAAGAGTTCAAGTCTCGTGTGGAGACTATCAATTTGCGAAGCATCTGCTGTTATCGACCCCATAACCCCAGCCCGAGACACATGCTTGATGCATGCCCCCCAAGACCTTACCAAAATCACCTTCTACCCTAAGAGCCCGGCCACTCACCTGCATTGGGTTCAGCTCCTCCCATGGTTCCTTTCCAGTCACCAGTTCATAGAGGATGACGCCGAAGCTAAATACCTGAGAAAGGAAGCATGCGTGGACGCAGCAGTAGCCATGTACTTGGTCCCAAACAGGGGACAATGGGTCGGGGCGCCGCAGCTGCCCATCGAACCGTAAAGAGGCATAAGCACAGAGCCACTCGCTCCTGGGCGCAAATGCAACCATAAGCAGATGCCGCAGGTGTATTGGATACTAAACAGCCCCTAAATCTGAACAAGCAGGCCCAAGCCCGTCACTCACGTCGCTCTTCTCATCGCAAGGCTCTCCCTTGAGGGTCTCTGGGGCCATCCAGGCAGGCGATCTGCGTATAAGCAAAAGTCCAGGTCACCTGCCATACCCCTGCATGGCATCGGGATTGAGAACCGGTATTGTCGTACCGTTACCGTGGCTCACCCGTTCTGCGTCGCGGCCGTTAGGTAGGTATTGTTCTTGAACCGCGACAGGCCAAAATCGCAAACCTTGACGGTCCAGTCCTTGTCCACCAGCAGGTTAGGAGACTTCAGGTCGCGATGAACTAACACCGGCTTGCAGTTATGTAGGTACTCCATGCCTACGACGCAGCGGCAACGGCACAACGGGTTCCAAAATATAAGGCAACATCAATGCTATGATATGGCGAAGCCCACGCTTGAGTAAACGGGCTTACTCGTAAATCCTATCCGCACTCCTTGTCCTTCAAAACGTAGCTTGCCCCCATGCCTGCTCCCACACACTCTCAATGGCGCGCTCACCTTTGGCAATATCCAGCGCCATGTTGAGGCGGCGGCGCGGGTCCAGCACCACCTCCTTGTTGCGGTGTAGCATTCGAAACAAAGAGCCACGTGTCATATACTGCGTCACAATGGCCAGCTGGTTCTTCTGCGTCACAGCGCCCAGGAACAGCACAATATTGGGGTGGCGCAGCTTGCTCATAATAAGAACCTCGTCTCGGAACTCCCGGATGGTGACGGGTGAGAGGTTTTGGTCATGAAAGTGCTTGATGGCCACATTGGTGCCTCGCCATGTGCCGCGGTAGACCTCGCCGAAGGACCCCATGCCGATGCGCTGCCCGAAGGTCAAGTCCTCCGGGTTGATCTCCAGGTCGCGGTGCGAAGGCGGAAGGGGCATGGAGGCCGAGAGCGAGGGCTGCTGTCCGAGGGGCGACGGCAGCCCAGCTTCAGCGGTGGCATCCGAATCGCCGGCGCCGGACACGCGCGACCTCTCCATGCGGCGCGCCGATGGCACGGTCATCTCGTGCGCAAGGTCTAATGCACCTTGCGACCCTTGCGGCGGCTTTTGCTGTTGTTGCTGCTGTCGCATTCTGGGCGGCTGCGTCTGCGGTAATTGCGGTTGTATGCTAGGAGGTAGCGCCAGCTGCGGACTGCCAGAGGCGATTGGCGGCCGTGCAGCGATCGCACCCGGGCCCCCTGTCTGTGTAGCAAGGGCAGTGCCGGACTCAAGCAGATTCGCCGCCGCAACCGTCGAGGATCCGCCAACGGGCATCCCTATGCCTGACAGCGCCAAGGCTCCACCCGGCTGCGGCTGCGCTGCCATCCCTGCGGCGGCAGCCAAGATAGCCTGCTGATGTTGTCGTTGCTGATGATGCAAGTATGCCGCCTGAAGCATATACTGGCTCGATTGCTGAGCTGCCGTCCAGCTGCTTTCCCATGCCGGATTGAACACATGTCGCCAGCCCTGCATGCCTGGCGCTCCGGCGGGGGCGGGACCATGCATGAAGCCTGCCGCCTGAGGCATCATGGCAGCCGCTGCTGCGGCCATAGCCGCAGACGGCTGCATGTACATGTAGGGGTTGCCCTGCATCGCAGCGGCAGCGTAGTACGACATAGCCACGTGGTGGGGAAGCTGCTGGCCAAGGTGGCCGCCGACCGCCGCAGGCCCCATCATCGGCATTGACCCAAAGCCCTGCTGTATCTGAATCTGTTGCTGTTGCGCGGTACCTGGCCGGCCTCCAGAAGGGTCTGGCCTGCCGCCGCCTTGTCCCCCGAGCTGTATTCGCGATAGGTCCAGGGCCACGCCGTCCGCGCCACCACAGCCGCTGCCAACGCCGCCTGTTGTATCGGTTATGTTGGTGATGGAGACGCGGGGCGTGGTCTCCCTACTGTTGTCGCTACTGGGCGTTTCCACAATAGGTTGCGAGCTCGGGCCTGGTGCGCTTTGTCGAGCGGGCGTCGCATCTCGCGTTTCACCGCCAGGACCCAATGAGACGCGAAAGGGAGATAGGTCGGCGAAGAACGACTGTGCTCGGTCCCGTTCCCGGTCGCGCTCAAGCTCACGTTCGCGATCCCGCTCCCGACCCCTTTCCCAGTCTCGCTGTTCCCGTTCCCGCTGGTCACGCTCTCGTTCAGTCTTCTCAGCCTTGCGGTCGCTGCCACAGCCCGATGTGGCCTCCCCAACATTAAAGGGAGATAGGTCAGCGAATGGGACGCTAGGCCCGGGCGCTGAGCCCGGTGGTGTGGACTGTGCAGATGAGGCCGTTGGTGCTGTGAAGGGAGTCGACAGCGCCGGCGACGGAGCCTTGCTACCCGCGTTGCCAATACCGTCCGCGGATTTCGGTGGCGTCGCGTAATAGGCGGTGCCGCCAATGGTGGCCGCGGCGCCATTGCCGAGTCCGTACATCCTATGTGCCGAGTCATGGCTGACGCCAACATACTGTCGGACTGCACTCCCGGCTGCTGGCTGCTGCTGGTGTGCCGGCTGCTGCTGCGATGGCGCCTGAGGCTGACCCGCATGAGGGAGGCTCCCCATGCGCGGTAACGGTAGGTTTGCACCGGTCGTGCTGGTGCCTGCATTGCCTGCACCCGCCAGTACCTGCGGTGGCCGTTGTGCCGCTTGCTGCTGTTGTTGCTGCTGGGTCGGCTGCTGGACGTGGGTTATTGTCCCGGGCTGCGGGGTTGGCGGCACGGCCCCAAAGGCAGACACAAGTGACGCCGGCGGCATATGGGATGCAAAGCCCATCTGCATCGCGTGGAATGGCGACGCTAACGCCAGGGAGGACCGCGCCTGTTGCTGCGGCGGCTGCGGCAGTGCAGATTGTATCGACAGCTGTTGCTGTTGCGAGGCCAGGGCTTGCGGCCCAGACCGCTGCTGCGGCGGGATGATGGTTTTCGACGGGCTTCCCTCGCTGCTACCGTGCGGGATACGCGCGCTGAGGTGACTGCCGCTAGCGCCGGCGCTGCCCGCTGTCCCTGAGCCACCGGCGCTGCAGCCGGTGTCACTGCAGGCGGTCGCTGATAAGTCCGACGGCAGCTGAAAGTTGGCGAAGGCCGACGCGTTTGTTGCAGTCGAGTATCTGGAGGCCCCCTGTGCGACAGGCGGAACCGAGGTACTGCCCATTTGACCCAGACTCCCAGCGCTACTCGCTCGGGCCGCGTTGCTCGAACTGACGCTGTCGTCCAGCTTTGTGCCGTCCGGCGACGGCTCCGCTGGCCCCAGGATAGGAAAGCTGGATACCATCTCTAATGGTTGCAGGCCACCCGCAGTCTGCGAGCCGCTGAAGCTGCCGGGCTGCGCGGCCGGTGCGCCAGCAGCGCATCCCCCAGACGACTGGCTCAGAGGGCTCAGCCCCGGTCCACCAGTGTGCGTCCGGGAATCATCCTTAGACCGAGTAAAACTGCCGGAAAATTTCACCCAGCCATTCTGGTCGAAGGAGTTTTGGCGGCGGCCCGGGACAACCGGGGGGCCTCGTGGTCCGGGCGCGGAGGTTCCCGTGGGTGTGCCAGAGCGTTCCGGCGGCGGTACAGAGTCGTGCAGAGAGTCGGGCAGCGGCTCTGAATCCAGGCGGATAAGATCGCATCCAGCCCCCGAACCAGACGGCATGCAATCCCCACCTCGTTGTACCGTTACCGCCAAGTCCAACATAGATTTTGCTTTCCCAGGTAAGGAGCTCAACGAATGGCGGCCAGAATGTGGCGCTGCAATTTGCGCGCCACCAGCAGCAGCCGCCGCCCCATGAGGCGGAGCTGGGAAGGGCGGCACGGCCAGCGGCGCCTGACGCGAATCCCCACGGCCGCCCTGCGGCTGTGGGTTTTCCGTTTTCGGAAGATCAGTAATCGTAAACCTTACGCGGCTGCCTGCAATCGCAGGCCCGGGACCGCTGCCATGCGCGTGCGCAGGGCCTGGCACCCAGGCGCCGCTCTGGACATGCAAACCCATGCCCGGAGCCGGTAAGGAGCTGCTATACACGGCCGGTGCCGGCATCGGCACCGGCGGCACCAGCATCTGCGTCCGGGACGGTGCTCCCCGTGGACTGCTGTGAGGCACCGGAGCCGCATCTGCCGCTGCTGACACGAAAGCCGGCAGGGATGCGCCAAGGTTGTTGGTGCCACACACAGCAGATTGACCGCCGGAACCCGAGCATGCAACGCCGCTGCTGACGGGACCTAGCTGTGCACTACTGCTGCTGCTGCTAACGCCAGTAGACTTCATAGAGCCCACAGTTCCCACGGCCGGAGGCGCGCCAGTGGCGCTGCTGGCGCTGGCTGCCGAAGCCTCCACTGCCGAGGCGTTGCCAGCGGCGGCGCTGGTCGTATCATGCGCCGGGTGGTGCCAGGCGTCCAGCCCTGCGTCTTCAGAACAACACAAAAAGGCCGTGGCGGGTAGGGGGGATGTGTAGTAACTTGGCATACGAGCTTGAAAGGGCGCACCTTGCATCTAATTCAGTACGCCCAACCAGAATGTAGCCTGCTGGGAAACTGGGTCGGTTGGGTCTACCATCAATTCATCTAGCCCCATCACTAACTAGTCAGGTTGACACGATTCTGCAACCTTCCAACCCCAGCCTGCGCCGCGAGCGCCTAGCCCCAGAATCTAAAGCCGCACCGATCGAGCGCCACTTAAAACCCAAGAGCTCCGAGGCCCCAACCAATTAAACCCATCTAAGCGCCGTATCTTACGCAATCTGCGCTCCTGGACCATCGCAGCGAACTGATCTTGTGAGATGAGCTTCCCCGGGTCGAAAACCAGGTCGACAATGTGTTCACGGCCGTCCACCATGACGATCGCATTGGCTGCGCTGTCCGCACCACAAAGCGCCTGGCCGCGTATGACCTTGCAAGGCAGCTTCACCGCATCGGCAAGGACCTTGAAAAGGAGGGCGCGATGGCGCAAAGATCCCACGTCCAGTTGACACAAAAGTAACACCGCCGACCTGGAAGTACGAGGGGATGTGTTCATGACGCGCCATAGTGGTGAGTTTTCCCATGAGGGTATGGTAACGTGATGCTTGCTTGAAAAAATGATGCTGCAAAGTTCAGATCGGGTCCGATGCAGCGCCGAAAATCAGCAGCGTTCGCATGGGCCATTAGCGTGGCTCTGTTCTGCAACACGTAATTCCGCAGCGGATTGCAGTAACATATCCGGCCGAAGTACCCTGGCTTCTGCCCCCAAATCGCTCCGGAAAGTATTAGTTTAAAGTGGTGTCGCAGGGGCCTCTTGCAGGGGCAGACCAGCAGGTATTGCACATAGCTAACGCCGCTTACCGGTTCCGGCGCTTCACATTGGCGCTTGACACCTGCCAGAACCTCTCCAGGGACTCCTCGCGGTCATAAGTGCCACCGAAGCGGTCGCAGACGACATGCGCGACAACCTGAGAGGCAGGTAATGGGTCACAGGGATGTAGGATAACTCGACATGGTATGGGTGACATCACCCAGCTAACCACCAACGCACTTACCCGGATGCGGGCCATCACATCCTGCGGGTTCGCCTCGGCCATCGCTTCCGAGAGCATCTCCTCCGCTTGCAGGAGTCCTTGGTCTTGCTCATGGTGAACCAGCACCACCTGGGGGAAAGGTGGGAAAACGTTTCGAGGCTGTGTACCAGTCCCGCCATAAACTCAATTGCGTCCTGAGACAATTTAGTAAGGAGGCTTTCGTGCAGACTTACCTCACGAACATCGCCGGAGCCAGTGCGGACTTTTCGCAGGACTTCTAGAGAGGGAAACTCGTGCGGACCTTCACAGACCTCGGGGAAGTCGCCATATATTTCGTAAAAGCCATCAGTAACTACATCAGAGTAGGCCAAGCTGCGGAGGCATTAAACCAAGTACACAAATGAGACGATAGACACGTCAAGGGCCACATTGTGAGCCAGGCACTTGATCATCGAGGCATACCAACCTTCCATCTTGCCAGAACTTCTTTGGCAAAGCCTCGCCAGCGCTCCCTTTCAAGACTAGTTGGTGCGTTTGAGAACCTGAGGCCCGTGCTGCCTGCCATGCTGCTTGGTCCGCAACACTCTGAGCAAGAGCAATACTTAGAGCGTGATCCTCAGAGGGCGGATATGAAGCTGGCGTAGGTTGGTGATTGCTCAACATTACTGCTGAAGGCCTCGACAAGGGCACCGCAGGTAGAGGCGCTGCTCCTGCAACGCTCAACTCTTCAGCACTTCTGTTCGAGGACTCTTCCCGAACTGTCCGCCCGCATAAAAGCACCGTAAGCGCCCATCGCAAGGCCTGGCTCATCCGCGAGAGCCGACAAGTATTGCCAACATTGAGTCAGGATATTGGAGAGCTGCTGTTGTTCGGCCCCAGACGCAAGTAAAAGGATCGTCTGGGGCCACCCTTGCTCACTGCCAGTCTGCAGCGAGGTTAACAATTTGTGAGTCCTACCTAAATTTGCTATGCCGTTTAGCTTTTATGGCGTTAGCGATAGAGTCTGTAAACAGGCAAACTATGGGAGAAGCTGCTGTCGTGCATTGGGCCAGCTGTACCTGTCTGCGACACACTTTTTACGGAGTACACAGCTCTTTGGTAGCTTTTTAAAGCACACGGAAAGGAGAATGTACACGATGAAATGCTACAATGCGCTTATGCAGAGCGGTTAGGTATCACGGAAAAACCTGCAAGGCCGGCTCAAAACGTATTCTCTATAAACATTATTACAACAAAATACAACACTTGTCCATCGTTGCCAAGTAAGAGCTTATAGTACGTCGTGTGCCAGGTGTCCCTTTTGTCCAGCCCGACCCGGTGAGTGTCATGCCACACAGGTAGTAAGGGTTGCTGTGTGCGATGGCGTTCAGAGCCAACATGCGCTATATACAGAGCTGATTTTAGCATTTTCATGCGTACGCGCGTCCTGGCAGCCTTCCACACGCCACAGTTCAACGGCAACGGCGAAAGGACCACATTAATATTGTATTTGATATAGGCGAATACGAGAGCCATCCGGCAGCCGACACAAACGCGCATAACCTCCGAGGTACGGCTTTGGGCCCAGACTAACCGTGCGTGTCCGACTTGGTTGTTGATCCCCTTTATAATTTTGCTTACTAACCGTCCCTGTTGGAGTTGTTTGGATACAGTCGCCTACTCGCCCTCACGATGTATTCTCAGCAATCAAATCAGGTAATCGCCAAACGAATTTCAACATCAGTAAAAGTATACAGGAGTCAGGGCGTGCACCCCTACAGTGTCTCAGGCTGGGCAGCCATGCATCATGGCGCACCCCACCCTGGCACACCTAGCCCTAAAGTATCCATATTATTCCGCTAGTTCTACAGTTATCACTCGACTGTCACACCAGATTCCCTCTGCCACAAACATTCTTGAGGTACACTCGTTTCATAAACTCCTGCATAACCCATGACCCAATAGTGCCCAGTATTCAACTTTTCTCCGCCACGGCGCCTGACCCCAACCTGTAACTTACACCTTTTAACAACCCCTGGGCTACATACCGACTGTTTCACAGCAGCTCGTACCCAGCTGTCCCCGTCCCCGCGGCGGAACCACCCCCGTTCTGTGCTTGCGCCAGCACCGCGAGTGGGTCGTCGCCACGCCCCTTCTTAATGCGGTACGCCTCCATCTCCTCTGGCGTCACGTGCTCACCGGCGCCCGCCTCAAGGCTGTTATATTTCCGCTTCGACCGGTCACCCTCCATCGCCGCTCGTTCGCGCTCCTCAAGCTTGCGCATCGCAGCATCAACCTGGAAGGGATGGCAAAGCAGATAGCTTTATTGGTGTCAATTACAGCAAATTCGAGACAAGTTAACAGGACGTGTGGCGTGCAACAAAATTTGCCCCCCACCGTCGCCGCTCGCCCAGTCCCTATGGCCATAGTTGCAAACTCTCATCCACACGCTTTCCACAAAAGGAATCGTCTAGCAGCACGACGGTCTCAAAACTCAAGCCATACGGAGAAGGCAGTACATTAGACTAGCGCGGCAGCTAGGGCCGCACGTCCTATGTCAGGCACCCGAATGTCCAGGGCCAGTGGGACGACGCGCAAACACCGCCTGTAATGAGCTGAGGTATTTCGGCACACGGCCATACATAGTGGCACAAGAAACGTTCTCCATGCTGAGTCACAACCGTACCGAGCCCTGCACCTAATCCCCTTCTGTTCCTGATCTCCGGCCGCCAGCCGGTTAAGTGGGAAAATCCCAACAGCCAACCCATGCACCCCGCCGCTCTAAGCTGGTAACCTTTTCCAATTGTACCGACCACAAGACAACGACGCGGACGGAGCTACAGATGATAAGTTCGCAATTTTCCCGACCTACAAAATCCCAGTCCGCACCTTCTTTGGGTCCAGCTCCTGGACCGGCCCGTCCGTTCCCCAAACATCTGTCGTGTACTCGTAGTTATTCAGTGTTGACTCTTGACGTCGCTTCAGTTCCGCTGCCTCCCGCTCTCGTGCGGCAGCCTCCATGTTGGCCAACATGGCCTCGTCCACTTGAGCTGCTGCTTTCTCACCAGCCTGTCCATAGCGGTGACGCGCGGCCCAACGGGCGCTGGAAGGTTAGCTGGACACGGACAAGCATCAAGTACTATACCACCCTAGGCATGTTACCAGAGGCGCCAACATAAGAGCCTCTTACGTGGTTTAAGCTCTGAGTGGAGAACGGCGGAACGGCACTCATCGGACGCACCAAGCTTATATTCTTTCTTGGCATGGATCCCATGCAAGCCAGTGAGCTTTGCAATTCGTACCCGCCTATTCAACAGCGCAGGCTGCCTCGCACACACTCTAGTCTCCTCGCTTCCCATTCGCCCACCTTTCCGGTACAGTAGCTGTTCTTCACACTGGAGTGGCAGCAAGCGTAGCCCCAGGTGCCATCGCGCCACCAGGATCCCCACACACACGTGTGGTTGTTGATCAGCACGTCCTCCTCGTAACGACTCTTGGCCTTCACCTCCACACCCTTGATTACGCGGCCCGCCCTGTCGTATTCGATGTATCGTTCACTGGCCGTCAGCACCTTCACTTCCTCCGGCAGCGGCTCTGCCGCGCTGCCGTACTTCTTGACGACGTCCTCCTTGCTCTTGTTCTACGGGTCCGCAAAGCGTACAAACGGGAACGGCAATACGTAATGACGTGCAGATATGAGTACTTGCTACACAGCTCCATTCGCCACCATGACATATGACAGCAGCACACGGGCCGTGCTGAGTACCGTTTGCCATAGTACTGTTTGCATTTCTGTTGTATACTTAGCACGGACAGTCAGTCCGTCGCATATGCAAAACATGCGTTATGATGAGGCGCTCCTAGTCCAACAGCGGCGAGAGCGCATGCTGTTTCGCCGCACAACGGACACCACATCACATAACCGCTCAGCGACCGCCACTCACTACGTAGGCGAGGAGCTTGCTGTAGTAGCTGCCCGCTGGAAAGGCCTCTCAAGATGCTGGCAGAGCGCTTTAGCGCGAAATTTTAGACGTGGGTGTGACGCGGTGTGTGACGTGTACGACATCTACTACAATTGCTCGCGAGGTTTGCTGCACTACTGGATAACGACCGGTTTGTCCGTCTCCGGCCAGCTTCAAACAATCCAAGTGCGCAGCATTATCCTGATCCCCGACCGAGACTGCTGTCCCCGGCTTCACTCCTCCCCCATCGGCTGAACAAAGCCCAACAAACAGCCCAACAAACGCCACTGCAACGAGCTACGTCATCCTACGCCCACCTCAAGCTGGTCTTTCTTCTCCTTGAACTGCTTGTACAGCATCTCCGCAAGCGACGGGTTCGCTTGCATGTGAACGTCCAGCCCTTTTTCGTGCGCCGTGATAGAGTGCAGCGTGAGGCTCTGCCAGGCGGAGTACTCGCCGCCGTTGCGCACAAAGTTATCGCCGTGAAAGAGCTTCTCGCTAGCTGGCTTGTCTGGCTGCGGATCCTCGCGCATGGACCTGGCGGAAGCACAAGCCAGCGGATGGATAAGAAGGGGCTAACCGGTTAGACATGTACCTGCAAGACGCCGGGTAGCTGCGCTCAAGGCTAAACCGACTCTCGTTCTGCTCCATGTTCGCAAAAAAGCAAGTCTTCAGTCGAATTCCAGTACGTCGGGTGGTTGGTGGTTGGGTGGGTGGTTGGACAGGACAGCGTGCTGCTGTAGTGCCGCATAGTCACGGGTCGAAGATGTTGGAAATGCATGGGTAGCCGCTTTATGAAAACGCGCTGGTTACTGACGTGCCGGCAAGATAATTGGTGCTACGAAATCTTCCAACCACGTAAGCATCCTCCATGTACGCCGATACATCGCTTGCAGATGCCGTGGTTTTTGCGGCACTGACATACCTAGACTTGGGGTCATAGTACGCCGAATTGACATCCAAGTTGAGCAGGTACTTGGCAATATCCTCACGAATGCGCAGGTTGCGCACCGAGCCCGTGGAACCACCAGCGGTGGTGCGCACGCGCTTCTTCACCTCACCGAAGCCTGTTAGGTAATACGAGGGCCAAAGACGCTTCATTTTCCCGGCCAAGCTTTACCCAATAACCTGGAAGCCCCCAATCCCCATCAGCAGACAGACTGCACGCCGTCAAATTGCAGCGGCCGGGAACATGGCGCTAGTTTGCGCAATAAATGGCTATAGGTAGGCAATACAACGTAATTATAGCATGCCATGGCCGTTATTGGCTTTTGTGCAAACCACTTTTATGATAGCGATCTGGGGCAATATGGTAGGCTTTGACCTGCGTCAAAATGCCATGGCAGTACCGTCATACTCCTGGGCGCTGTTGGTCAATGTAAAAACAGTAACATTCAAACCACCTGGGGCCAATATTCCCTCACCCAAGCTAGATGGCTCGTTCCCCTCAAACAGTCATTATGGATCAGCACTGCTCCCGCCGACCCAGTGACAATGCAGCAAGACGTAGTATCCTTTCTTTGATGACACCATGCAAGCATCAATCCAGGTAGGCAACGATATTAGAGTCATATGGCCCCTGTATATGTCATATGGCCCTGGCCTCATGTAAATTTCGCATCCGGGTTTTTCTCAATATTTCCTCGGTTTTCGCTAGCAAGGGAAGCATGCTGCCCAGCATCACAAAGGGCTACCCAGCCGTACAAACCACGCCATCCCGCAATGGAGTCTCCGGCCCCGCTGCAAAGAGTCATCGCGACTCACCTGCCTCCTCCTCCTCCTTAATCTTGGTTTCATCCTCATCAATGGCACCGTCCGCCCCAGGCTCCGCGTCCCCAGCTGCTTCTACAGCCTCGCCCTTCTTGCGGATTTCGTCCAGCTGTAACGGGATATCCAAAATTGGAAGCGCTTGTATATGACCGACAATCACATAGCCTGTGATTCTATCAAAATCCACACCTGTGAATTATTTGGTTGGCCTCTCAGGACACATCAGTTTGTACGGCAGAAATGCCGTACAAATTCTTGAGGTGATGCGAGTTGCGGCTTCCCGCACAAGCTCAAGAGAACTTGCTGGGCCCTTGCTTTCAACCTCAAGTGAGGCACCTTCACATAAGCCCGCAAGGACACAATCAGCCCCCCTGGCAACTCTGGCCTGCATTACCCCCAACATCCTACTCTTGCCCTGGCCGCAAACTGAGATGAGAATTTCTAAGTATCAACCTGCGTATGTGCATACCAGAGACGGTTTGTAAAGCACGGTGCACCGCCATAACAGCCCTCAGGCCTCACTGGCATACGCCTGCCGCCGTCCATGGCGGCCCCCCGGATTTTTCGAAACCCCCCGGCATTGGTTCGGGGTTGGAACTTGCATAACGCTTTCTACGGACCTGGGCGCTGTTCCCCTTCAAGCAAGCAACACACTCATATGCCTGCGCCGATCTACGGATACCCTTACCTGCTCTTTTTTCTTTATCTCCTTGCGCAGCTCCTCCAGCTGCTCAAAGCGGTCCACTATCCGGGCGTATTCCTTAGAGTCGTAGCCGTTCCACCGGTCCCGCTTGCTCTCAAAGCCCGTCAATTTGATGTCCTCCACCTTTTCGTCCGGAGCAATGTTTTTATTGGTCCACTTTGCTCCCTTGCTACGCGGCCGTTCCAGGCAGTCCTTGGTTTTGTGCGTCATAGCTCCACAGCTGCAACATAGGATAAGGGGATTCGTGGCGGAGAGGTAAGGATGGGCAGAGTAGGGAGGCATGGCGAGGTCGGAGCATGATTTTAAGAGCGATATGCCACGTGGCCTGAAAGCTGCGTGTATAGATGGGTTCCAGCTGCGCACGACGACGTTCACCCCTGGGTTCAACGGACCACGCGCCACCGTGACCCATATACTCACTTTTCGCAAGCTCCCTTTCGAAACTTCGTTGCTTGAAAAATCTTGGCACCACGATCGTACCACTGCGTCCCATCCTTCCCCTTATCATTCCAGTTCCGCTGATGCTTCAGGGTGGGTTTGTCGGAGTTCAGGTACCACGGCGCCGTCGTCATATACTGAGGGATGTGGGGGTTAATTTCCTTGCCATTCTCGTCGACCTCGGCCGGCGCCAGACCAGCCTTACGAGCCTCCTCAAGCTCCTTCTGACGACGCCATCTGCCACCGGGCAACGACGGTGACAGGTTGTTGGTTTCGTCGCAAGTGTGAACTAACGTGTCCCAGAACTTCAACTTACTCGTCTCCTGTCTTGAAAGCCATCTTAGCCTTCTTTTACGATTCCCTGCAACCTAGTCTACAAGGACTTTGCTAAAGCTGAAAGGCTACTAAGCTCAGCAGAGGGCACCAACGTTTTCGATAATGAAAAGGAGTAATGTAACACAAAGTTACGCCGCAGGAGAAATGCGAAGAGTCTTAAGCTCAATTGCCGACTGTTCCCTCCAAAGAATATAACCGTTGGGCCTGCCGTGTAAGGAAGGATTTCGGAGAAAAAGTTGTGTTATGAAAAAGCTTTGCTAGGCAATGTCAGAAGCTGAGGAAGGAGTTGGTACGACAACAGGTGGCAACGTTGTTATTGCCATATGCGTACATTTCCTTGAAGCTTGTAGCAATAAACAATAAGCATGATTCATATAAAGCGCCTCCGTGCACTCTGGCCGCTTTAGAGGCCCATGGTTCACTTGGCAAGGAAGCTGCTGCGGGTTGGTACAGAATTGAATGTTTACACACGACCGGCTCAGGTGTTACATACTGTGCGCAGGGGTATTCAACCCAGCCGACCTAGGCATACTCGCCTAACGCTGCCAGATGAGGTTCAGGACAAGTAGGGTAAAGCCGGTCCGCGGCGTGACTCTTCCTGATGAACGCGACATTGATGGTGATGCAGGCCGATCGGAAGAGCGGCGCCAACGTGAAACAGACTGACCCATTAATCTGAAGCTGCCACAACGGCGGGAGAGCTACGACAAATGCAGATTACACAATTAGGCCATGGTTCGTAATTTGCGTATTTACGTATTAATGCCAGCGATCTTCCGCGTGGTGCGTAACATCGCTAGCGTCTTGCAAAGCACTCAGGGGCATGCCACACTTGGAGCCGCAGTTCACACACACTCATTCGTTCGCTCCACGCGCGGTGCACCACCTCGTTGGCACCTTGCCTGGGTTTCCAGCCAACACGGATTGCACCGCCCCATCATAAGGGCATAAAAACATAATCAACACGCAAAAGCTCTCATCGCCAGAATCATGAGATTGATTCATGCAACCCACACCCTCTGTTCAAGCAAACCCTCATGGGAGTATGAATGAAGAAATCATCTAGGTCATGCCGCCATAGGTAAGCATTCGTGCGGGAACGACACCAGTCTTCAGGGATATCAGATGATAGGCGGCCACCGCACGCATGCGTCAGACCTGGCCATTGCAAAGGCAATATTATCGAGAAGGCATTATTATGAAGAAACCAGGACTCCGACACCCGGACTATATATGTATCGGCAATATTAGTACATCAGCAATTCGAGTGTCCAGTTTCAATCCCTTGGGGACGAACTGCTCGCAGCAGGACCAGGCACACGCAAAGATGCCAAGACAGTTACGACGCCGATGCCGATGGCACATTTGTTGGGTGCGGGATGCGACAGAAAAAAGGAGAGACACTTACATACATTCACGCGCTTTCGGCAGCCAGTAGAAAGAAGTGTTAAACTTAGGGAGAAGCGCAATCCATAGGTGGGCACTTCACCGTGGTCTCCCTCCAACAAGACAGAAGAGTGTAAGGCAAACGTGTCGCAACTGACGCAACTCACGGCCGCAGAGACGACCACGCAGCCCAGGGGCGCCCCTGTACAAACGTTGCGCGGCGCGTCGTGTAACAAATACAACCCCCCACGCCCCTTCCAAGCTTCCCTTCAGCTAGGTAAGGGACGTATGATGAGCTCCGCGACCACACAAGAGGTCGACTGGGGCCTTGAATATCCCCCCCAAGAATAGACACTCAGGCTGATGCCCCAGGTATAGACGGAAGTTGGGACATGCACAATGCCTTGGACAGACGCAAGGTTTAGATGCTCAGATTGCCGATGTCGTAAGGCGCTCAATTCGGCGCTGCAAGTCGCGGAATTTGGCCGTGCGCTCCGAAACCATCGATTCAGCATCCTTACTATACCAGCGCCGGTCGTCTCGCATATGCCGGCGCAGCGCCGAAATCTCTTCCTGGAGGCGCGCCAGCCTGTCGGCATCACGGTACGGCACCGCCGGCCCGTCATCCAAAGCGCGGACGCCGCCGCCGCTGCCGCAGGTCCTCCTTCGAAGGGCCGCCGGCGACGTGGCCGCAAGGGCGGCACTCGAAGCGGACGCCGTCAGCGCCGCCAGCCTCTCGTTGACAATGTCGTGCCGCAGCGCTTGCAGCTGCCGACGTATGGTGTACAACTGCTCATCCAAGTTAGACTCCATCCAGCGAGCTTCCCTTCCTCCCCCGCCATAATGTAATCCGCCGCCGCTGCCGTACGGACGCCCACGCACCAATGTCGTCGGTGCCCAAGACACATGAAGCTCCTCCGGACGTAGGTGCCCGCCCGCGGACATCGGAGCAGTTGGTACGGATGAGTTCGATGACCTGCCGTACGTCGTTGACACGGAAGCGTTATAGCGAACGGGTGAACGTGTTTTCGAACGGGGTGGAGACGGCGATAGCGCTGCCAGTGCCACGGAGGCGGAGGCGACGGCAGGATATCTCGAGGAGTTTATGACCCTCGGCACGCCCATTCCAGTGAACGCCGACGCCGACATGTCCTCCAGGCGGTCCGTAACGCGATTGTACGAGTGCAACGTGTTAGCGAGCGTCTTGTTGATTAGCTTAAGCTTCTCCACCTCCGTTTGCAGCACCGTATCAAGCCGAGCCAGTGGGCGGCTGTACGATGTGCCTCCACTTCGATGCGTGCGTACAGTGTCGCGCCTCACTGTCGATGGCGCTTCGCTGCGGTTGCCGTACAGCGAGCCTTGATGATGTGGCGTGTCAGGAGTTGGCGCTGCAAAACCCTCTGAGAACTTAAGGGGCGTGCATGCACGGGTGCCAACTACCGGCTCTTCATTCTTGTTCTCAGCTGCCTCCACCGCCTCCGCCGCTGCGGCCGCCGCTGCTGCCGCGGCCTGTGCCTGCGCCGCGGCCGCTTGCGCCGCAGCTTGCGCTGCTGCCGCCTTGGCTGCCGCCGCTGCCGCTTCTGCTGCCGCCGCTGCTGCTGCCTCCTCAACCACTGCTTCCTGCAGCTCCCTCTCCGCCTCCGCCAACTCCCGCTCGACTTTTTCCACTTCAGCCTGGTGCTCCTTTTCCTTTCGCTGCCGCACCTCCTCCTCGTGCTGCCGCCGCCGCCGTGTTTCCGGTGATACCGGTCTTGACCCAGAAGACGCGGGCCCCGCTGCCTTCTCCTGCTGCAAGAACGTACCAAAGGTGGCCACAGAGACAAGCGGCTCCGCTTTTGAGGCACAGGCAGAGGCAGCGGCAGAGGCAGCGGCAGAGGCGCCACCACCGCTGCCGCTGCGTCGCTGTACCTCGAGCTTCAACTCCTCTAGAGCATCATCCACTTCCGCCAGCGCAGCGCCCATCTGGTTTGGATATCAAGGAATTATCAAGAAGGAGAGTTGCGGGATGGGGTGAGTTGGTTTGTAATTGATTTCCCTGACACGCTCTTTGGGAAGTCCTCACGGCAGCACAGCACATGAGGGACGTTACGTGGAGGTTGCAAACCTGCAGCCGGGGACCTGCGCGACTCCGCAACCCCTCTTGGGGTTGATGCGGGAAAGCCGGGCCGCGGAGTTCCGTTAAGAAAGGCACCGCTCAGATGTGCGGACGTTCGAGGCAATACAACGTACCGCACAGCGACACACATGGAGCGCACGAGTGTGAGTCCACGGCACCCACAAGGACGGGTCCAAGCCTCCAAGGGATCTGTCCCCATCTGGGTGAGAGCCCCTTTTACCTGGCGCCGCTCGCGATCCATCTCCTGATTGAACTTGGACGCCTGCTCCGCCGCATGCTTCTTAGTGTGCCCGATGCCACCGGGTGAGCGAGGGGAGCCCGGAGCAGAGGCGGGACGAGCAGCGACAGCGGCGCTACCAGCCGGGGAGCCGGTCCCCTGCCGCGAGGCCAGCCGGTTCGGATCGGCCTTCACATCCGCTTCGGCCCTATCCGCCACCACCACATACGCCGCGTTAATCTCCGTCAGCCCCTCCAACTCTGCAGCAATCCTCGCCGAGTCAAACGAGCCGCTGTACGACAACCGACGCCGGCCGCTGCCGGACGCCGCCTTCGGAGCCGCTGGCTCACACGGCCGGGCAGAGCGAGAGCTGCCGCAGGCGCCTCCGGTGCTGGCGGGTCGCATGGCGTGCCGTACCCCCGGCGAGCTAGCTCTGGAGTTATCGACATAGAAATCGCGGCTGCACCAGCGCTCAGAGTCGTAGCTGTCCTCCAGGTGCGATTCCGGCAGCAGCGGTGTGCGGCTGGGCCGGCGACCGCGGCTGGAGGGCTCCCATACCCAGTGGCCATCCGCATGCGAGCGGTCCAACAGAAGCTTGCAGATGCGGACAAGCTGTCGCAGCTCCCGGCGTAGCTCGTTGTTCTCAACGCTTAGCCTGAGGGAGGCGTGGCAAGGTGGCGGATATCGGCGAGGCCCCCGGCAGGTCAGGTACATGCCAGGCTGCTTAGGACTGGCAGATGGTGCAGGACAAGAGAAGTGCATGTGCGCGTGCATCTCGTGTGTGCAGGCAGGCAAAGATGCAGGCAGGCAGGGAGCAGGGCTGCCGGCTATGGCAAGGTTGTTTATTTGGGGTTGGGACAACGAAAGGATGGTCAGAAGTGCCGTTTATATGTGTGGGAGCCCAGCGGGATGCTTGTTTGGTGCTACTGTAAGCAAGGCTTGCTGGGCCAGCTTCGGAGGACGGAAATAGGAAGGAAAGGGGCGATTGACACGAGCGAGTTGAAGCAGAGTTGCACAAAGACAGGACTGTGATTGATCTTTGCCACTTCAGGGTATAATGTAGGCAGCATTTCGATGCAATGATTCCAACCTGTGCACAAAACCGGCTGCTACAACAAAACTTCCCGGAGGACTGCGAGAGAAAGCCGTTGTGGCACTGCAAGACCCCTGAGGTTAATTCTATAGGAGTTACTATTGTTGCAGACAGGTTCCGGTTCCGCACCTGTACACGCGCTCTTTTTTTTGGAGCTCGCGGTTTTGCGCTTCGCTGGCAGCAACCCGGTCAGCTTGACGGCCAAGTTCCAAAAGCAGCGCCTCTTCTCTTATGTCCCTTGACAGCAAGGCCGCTTCCCTCGACCAGGCAGCCACGTTTCGCGCGAGAGCTTGTAAGTCGTCATTTGTTGTGTCAATCTGCACAGCGGATTAACAAAGACAAAGCAGACTCATATAACAACAAAAATATAACTCATATTTTTTTGTCAGAAAGCATTTATGTAACCATTTGTTTGTGAAGTGTTGTTGGTGAGAACGCATGCGGTTGCATGTGAAGATGTCCAGCCCTTCCTTCGAAGCCCTATTGTAGGATACAAGACACCTTTGTCAATATGTCTTCTAATGCACGACGCCTTGTTGCTTCATGTATGTGGCTGTTCTTCCGCCGTGGGGAGACACTCCGCGAACGGCGCACAGGAGACTTTGCGGCACTCGGATAAGGGTATTTGCGCAAGGAGAGCTTCCAATGTTCGTCTGGATACATGTAGTAGTCGCCACGGTAGCCTGAAAACACAGAGCCAAAAGTTCTCCCGACGGATGAGCCGAATGCAGGTCTAGCAGGGTATGCCATTAGTCTAAAGTGAATTATCAGTTATATGATTTGACGGCTAATACGGACGACATAAGCTGTGCATAGGGTTATAGCCGTCCTGTCGGTTACTAAACGCTAACCTTGCAAGTAGCATCCCGTATTGAGTACGAGGAGCATGCATTAGGCAACCTGGAATGCATACAGGTAAATGCTGTTCGTTAATGTAGAAAAATGGATGCATGGAATCGTCTCATAAAAAAAATGTACGGCGCAACACCTCTTCCATTTCCCATGAAAGGTGATATTTTCCCAGATGCCCCTCGCAGCGAGGTATTCTGCCTTCAGACCTGGCCGCAGCTTCTGTACTTGGTTCTTGCCCCGCACGTAGCTGAGTTCAACGGAGTTAGTTACCCTGTGGAGTCTTTTTTTGATGTTTGCAAGAACCGTTCCGAGTAAAGCATCTGTGCTACCGACGTTGCTCTGCTGCAGACATCATTTGTATGGCGTCAGTTCCCTCATGAGTCAAGGCCGCTGATAAACTTGACAACGGTATGCCCTCATTTACACGATATCACCCCTCATCGCATCAAACCGGAAACTAGGATAACTATTCCGCCCATTACATTAGGCTAACGACACACTCCAGCTGGGGGCCATAATCCCTCCCTAATCTCTTGAATCCAGCCTCACGCAAGACCGGAGAGGCGCCACCGTTGCACAGTGTTACGCTTCAACCAGGCCCGTAAACCTCGCCAACGGATATCTCACAGAGCAAAAACTAGGAGGCTTCTTTCAGTTGCTTACACAACTGGAATTAGACTTGATTTTTGCTTAAGCGGCAGCTGAGGCGAGCACTGGCGGAGTGTCGCGGCTCAAACCCATTTCGCACAAGCACTTGTGCAGCCGTTCCACTGCACCTCGTCTGTCAAAGACGCAGTCATGCTGTGTGAGCCTGCCTAGGACACCTGATGACCTCCCGCGTACCCGCATCAATACCAATACAACGTCCATGGCTCCCCCGGCTTTTACGGACACACCCGCACTTGTGTGCGGAACTTGTAACCTAAAACACCTGGGAATTCATTCCTTGTGCAGATGATGCAGCTGTCCAGGGTAACTGTTGTCTGCCGCTATCGTCCCCCGAGACTGACGGTTGCCTTCGTGTTGGGCCGTTGGTGCCCGGCCAGCTAAAACTAAGATGGCAGAGATAACTAGGCATGGGCTTCTAGGGCTGCTTCAGGCGCTGTGCCCAAGTCGGCATATGGGTGGTAACCTGTCACAATCACATCATGAGTGGGCCTAGACAATACGGGCAATCTTCCTGGTTCACCCGCCGCGGCGCACCATGCCGACGGTGCGGATGGCCGAAGCTATGCTGCATTCGGAAGACAAGGTATGCCCCTTTTAGCGTGTAGCTGCATGCTATGTTGCCTCACGTTGGAAGGGCTTGCGTGAATTTCCAACTTCGTGTTCGCTGTCTTACCTGGAGGCCAACTTAACCACCCAACCATAGAACGGGTAGCAACATTCGCATACATATTGTTATATTTATATGCAAGGGTTTGGCACTGCTGGTAAGGCGCGACCATTGCCCCCGGGAGATCCCGGGATCGATACCCATTCGGGTCAAAGGTGCTTCCGATGGTGGAGGGCATTGCGCCCGTTGTTGATGGACGGTGGTGACCTGGGATAAAGTTAATCTTCGAGCCGACCAGGAATGGAGTTGGGCCGCGGTCGATCCGGCAGATTCCATCGGATGCTGGTTGTGGGAGCGGAAACTGAGCGATCCTCTGAGATGTTCACTAGAGTGACTGGATGAGGGTGCCTCGATATACCGGGGAAGGCAGGGTTTCACAGGGTAGCTGCCACGGGCGAAGATACACCCCCCTGTTTCACACATCATATTTTTTGTGGTTACAGCCCTTCACACTTCAAATCTCTGGACGCCTGTTGAGTTGCATGTGTAGGTGCCCGAGGTGCGGACACGTAGCGATGCCTAGGCGAAAGCAAGGAAAAGAAAACATGAACAGATGGAAAATCATCGGGAAAGCGAAAGCCGCAGGGAAACATAGTCCCGCTTCAACCTCACGGCGCATATGCCACAATGGTTATTGAGCATCTCAGATACGCGTAGCTGAGATGCCGTACGGTACTTGGGTCGGCTTGATACACGCCATTCATCATACACGTCATTTCCCACCAAGGGGGGCTCATCTTCATAAAACAGCTATACTTCTTCATGTGCAGGGCATTCCATGAGTAACTATATAACTCATCTCAAAACCGATGCCATTTCAATTAGCTCTCGAAGCTACAGGCATATGACGCGACACTAAGCCGGTACTCCCTTGGGTTCCAAATTTAATAATGCTTTTGGGTTCCGTAGATTTGGCCTGTGCGGTTCGCGGCCGCAGGGGCCAACAGCGTATCACCAACGACTGAAACGCGTCAGAGCTTTACACGCGCCTCGCTCGCGCGAGGTAGAAGTGCGCAGGCGCGCCGCTGTATGCGTACGACGGTATTCCACTTGGATTGCGAAATTGACCACATGCGTGGCCTGCAGTCCCACAAAATCTAGTATGTCTAGTAGCAATAATAAACAAACAACTGTGTTTTCCCGCGTTTGCGCTTCTGGATATCCAGCAAGCAGGCAAGCAAGCCACTCAATCACAGACTGCAGCTGCTGCGGAGTCACCACGTACAGGATTGAATTTGAGGCGCGGTGCTGACAAAAGCCCTCTGAACGACACACGCGAGCACACAATCCGTCCACGCAGGCATGCATATACAGCACCGCAGGCGCCTTCATTGTGCAGCCCAGCCTCGCGGCAAATATAGGATTAAGGAAGATAGGACGATGAAACTGAGCAGGTTAAGGCGGACAGGGTCCCGCGTGGGAAGTCCGCAAGCTCGGCGTCTCCCGCAGTAAGATCCCTCGCACCTTACGACGCCCGTTGCATCGCCGCGCTCAAAGCCCCACACCTCGCCTACGACAACTAATACAGCACGACACATCACATTGGGGCATGTGCGCCCGTGTCCACGTTGCGGATTGTGGAGCCCCAAGGCCTAAACCCCCTTCCCTAGCCTTTTGGGGTTAGCTAATGATGATTGCATTAGGCCCAGCGTGATTCCGTGCTTCCCCGCACCACCGATGCGATACAGCAAAAAAAGGCTCTTTACCTAACATTGAACCCTAAAAAGTCCCGTCGGCCGACAACTTGAGCAAGTGCTACGCCCTGTAAACTTTCTAGCGCGAAAATACGTCTTGATATTTAATGACTAGCAATCTGTCCTCCGAGGAATTGCCAGAAAGTAGCTGAATGCAACAACAGTCGTACCTAAGTAACGACAGGCAGGCAGATAAGTAAGCCGCATACAGTAGGTAGGCCGTAAACGCAATGTTGATGAATAGGCAGCATACATAAAGGGACGCATGAATAGGCAGGCATCAGAAACGCAAGGGCGCAGCGGACGCCGTGGCGTAGAAGATGTGTCCCGTTCGTGGGGGACCGCTGCGGCCTCGCTGGTGCGCTTCAGACGCATGCGTGGCTATGAAGCACATCCCTTCTGGTATCGGGGAAACAGAATAGATATAAAACACCTCCCTCGCTCGTCCTGCAAGCCTCCTGAAATTGCTTAGAGGCGCTTTACCCGCTGTCGCGAGGTTTTGCTTGCTCGTGAGTTTGTTTTCCAAAAAACCGGCTATACACCTAATCGGAAATCTTTGTAAGTCCCACCACAACAACCGTATGCGTACATATCTGCACCCATGTGCTGAGCACTGAGCAAAGCACCCACGACCGCAGACGCGTCTTATCCATATCCAACCCCCGTATAACAAAAGTTCATCCTGCACAGCGAGCGGTCCTAAACGCGGCAGGCTAAAAAGCAAAAAGCTGCTCCCATTCCGTACGACGAATGCTTCCCCCTCCCGATGCTCAAGCCAGCCTGCAGTTCCAAGCACGATCAGATGCGCACATCCGGCTTACCTAGAAAACGAACAACGTCGGTTATGCGTGATGAATTACGCGCTTTCTCTTGTTTATCAACCTTGCCATTTTGTCATTCATCCCAGTTTTGTGCACATCCTGCATATGCGACCATGAATCCATGCATGTGTTAAGCCTCACCAGCACCCACAGTGGCGTGGTGCTAGCTAACTGTGGCAGTTCTGTTGCAGTTGTCCATACACGCATGCCTACACGATCAACTGATTTCTCATGTCGCTATCAACAGTAAAGATGAGGCGCACAGCCATCAAATTTCCTTGACCGAATACGAACGAAGTCCTTCAAGCTACCTTACGATCGCCATCTCAGCGGCGCCTATGGTACCCACAAATTATGGGTGCTGAACCAAGGAACAGCGAAGTTTCTTTTTGTCCGGTTTGCGAACGTAAATACTCTGGTAAGCCGCCTTGATTATGATCGCCCAAGGCATAGCAACCTACCCAGGATGCAATCTGTTATGCCATAAACTCAGCTAGTGCAAATGAAGGAAAGGTGAAAAGCCATTTCGTCAAGCCGTTTACTAGACCTCGTCCACTCGTAAAACAATTAAGCATTTTTATGTAGGCCATGTACCCTTCCAAGCCCTTCCCAACAACATCCCAGCTGCAAATACATCAGCCAGGGCAGCTTGCTGCGTGCTGCAATAAGCATCACCTCGCTCTCCCAATACGGAGCACACTAACTGGAATTGAAAGGGCCACTATCAAGTAGGCTATTGAGTAACCTCGATATGGACTGGCCGCCGCCCCCTACCTAGCTACGTAGCATGCCTCCAGCCATGCATCCGTCCCCCCCCAAACGCGGCTTGTGGCGTGGATTACCAATACATAACAATGGGCCTAGCGAGTAGGGAAACTCCTTGGTAATTTTCGCAGAGGCAGACACCTACAGGCTACGCACAAACACTGCCGCCCACCTCCGTGCGACAAACGCCTCAAGCAAAAGACGCAGCAGAACGGAGGAGCCAACTGCGGGCCGCCTCGCGCCGTCGCCGGTTATGCTTCACGGCGATACACCTCCACACCATAAGCTTTACACCCTCATGTCACTCCACGTCGGCTTCATGCCCAACACTCGCCAACGGTACAAAGCGCCGTTGCGGATACCCGCCAGCGGGCTTCAGCGGCATTGCCAGTTGGGAAGCCGAGCCCGGCGCCGGCAACAGAATAGAGGACGAAAATGTCCGTGTGGGCAGCGCACGTGCCCTGGCCCGGGGCAGGCCGCCGCTGCTATCCCCGGAGCGGGGGCAGCCGTTAATTGAGACGCCTTTGGTGAACAGCGGGCCGCTTGCAGTGGCTGCAGCCGCCGATGGCGCGGCCGCCATAGGACCCGCCAAGTGAGTGGCAATCGCTATGGCGCCCGCTGCAAATGCTTCGTCACTTGCCCCATCGTATTCCTCCTGCTCAAGGAACGGCCGGCCGCCCGCGAAGACAGGGGAGCTGGTGGCAGAGGCAGCGTTGCTGCTGGATGCACATACAGGCCACAAGTCCATCTCGTCCGTCACCCATGACGGCAGTGCCTGGGTCCTGGATGACGGTCGCGGACCCAGCGGGTTGTTGGAGCTGCTCCGCCGTACCGACTGCAAGCTGCCGTCACCGCCGCCGCCGCCAGCGACTACAGGCAGGCTGCCTGAGCATCCAGTCGGCGCCGGAGAAGTGCAGCCAGGCGCTGCAGTGGAACGTGAATAGAATCCCAGCTGCCGTAGCTGTTGAATTAACTGCTGCTGCTGTTGTTGCTGTTGTTGTTGCTGCTGTTGCTGTTGTTGTTGCTGCTGCTGCGACTGCGGTCCGGCGGTGAAGCTGGTAGAGCGCAGAGGGCTAAAGATGTAATCGCTGCCGCGGCGTGCCACGGCCCTACGGCACACGGAGAACTCATCATTGGACTGCTGCTGCTGCTGCTTGGGTAAGTCCTTGGGTGGATAGCCCACTACAATTCCATCCATCAAGAAGCTATCAGGCAGCGCCTGCTGAAGCCGTGAAGGCAACTCGTTCACTTGTAACTTTTGCAGGGGCTGGCTTTGTGTGGCACGCTGCGGCTGCATCTGCTGAAGCTTAGGCAGTGAGACCTGCATGGGTGAATTTGGCAGCTCGGCTGCGGAGCCGGCGGTGAGCGGTCGGCCATTGTTCAGCTCAGAACTCAGCCGGAGCATGATAGCTGCAGCAGGGCCGAGATTGGTGCAGCTTGAGGGCCGGCCTGCGGCGCCTGCAGCACTCAGGACCGGCAGTCCTTGCTGTTGCTGTGCCAGTGGTGACGCTGGTGGTGGTGAAGGCTGTTGTGGGTGCTGGCGCCCTGTCTCGAGGGTTGGTCGACGTTTCAGGGCGGCGGTAGGCAGCAGCGCATTTGAGGTTGAGGTGTAAAAGGTAGCGGCGCGGCGCGGCGGGCGATGCCGCGACTGGGCCACCGGACTCATGCTAATGACCGTAAAGCGACATGTCGAGTTAAAGGTGTTATTTGTATCAGGGGGAATCCCTGTCCTCTTGTCGGCCTCGTCCAGCTTGCGTCGAGGAGCTTGCACCTCTTTGCCGGCATTCGTCAGCTGGTTAGTTGGGCCAGAAACGTTGTCAATATACTGAGGCGCTTCCTCATGCCATTGCCCTGGCAGGCTGGTTGCATGTACTTTCGCTGCGCGTGCGGCCTCCTCAGCAGCTTCTGGCTCCGACGGTCCAATGCGGTCCTTCAGAGTGTTTTCTATCTGAGAAATTACAAAAGATGACCTTTCATACAGCTCAGCCAAATCAGCGAGCACGGCAGGGACGGGGGAGTCCATGTGGGCCGACAGAATATCAGTTCGATTAACACCTCCTGTTTGCTAACTCATGATTTGAAAATAAGCCTTAGGCTGAATGAGAATTCCATTGAGGCTGAAGACACTATAACGTTCTGAGTGTCATGAATCAAGCCCATTAGGGGACTTCTTTCAAAGCCTTGAGGAGGCAAACACTAACAGCAAAACTAGAAACAACATCACAAAAATGTTTGTGCATAATACCAATACACCTCAAGTTGAGTGGCAGCCGTCGTCAATAGTACCGGAGCCTGCCATTACACCGCACAAAGGAAACAAGACAGTAAGAACTATGAGAGAATTTTCATTAGCATATTAAATATTTATAGTCATCATAAATTCTGAAGCAAGGGCCAGTCTTCCAGTCTGGTGTCCGAATCACGTGCCGTTGTTGGCAATCGGAATCGTGTCAGTTGGCAACTCGCTTTTGTAAAATCATGTATGCCAGAATCCACATACGATTATAGATTTGCCGTAAGAAAGGAAGCTTAGGACGCTTGCTTGCAACTTAACCACGTCGCAAATGTCAAGTTCCCCTGAGCCCGTGCTTGCATGATGATCAACACAATTTAGTATCTTCCATGCGGTTAACTGAGGGACGAAGTCGGCAGTTGGTGAATCGGGTTCGAGACCGATAAAAGTACTATTATAGTTGCGTATAAAAGTTACTCTTTTTCTACCCAGCTGGTCGCTCCTGGATGGAACTAGTTCCCTCGTACTTTACGCCACTTTTCGAAACGAAAGCTCGCAGATCCTAGCCAGTCTTAACCATGTTGCTGCTACACTATAAGGGAACGACATTGAATGGTTTTGTGTATGGGGATAGGAAATAGCTCGGGAATTATTTTTGAAGAGCATCTTATGGGGTCCGATCCGTCATGGATTTGACCCCACTTCCCTGCAATTCACATCCAATATTGCGTAGTAGGGATCCATGCCGTAATGAGTCGTCTGCACTACGCACTCCTTTGCTCCTGGTGGAAACTGACACCGTCCGGCAACGCAGCTGCGCCGCGGATCAGGGCTTGCGATTGTGATTATCTTTGCGCTGGCCCCTGTCATGCCCCTACTTTTACTGTTTTTCTGGTATTCGCACAAAACCTTACGTGCATACACTCGCACGTAGTATAATGCCATGCTCCTCAGCTCACCAGCAAAGCACAGCAGCCTGGGCCGCCAAGCTGAGGCTGCAGCCAAGCTGATTGTGGCTACCTAGCGATCACACATGCGCTCGTGCATTGCCGTGAGCAGAACAAAATATATGCACTAGCACATGCACCCGTGGACGCTTACTTTTTTTCAGGTCTGCTTTTACTGCATGTAACTTAGCTGGCGCAGATGCAGTCTGCACAACACTTCCTGGCTTGCTGTTTGCTGTTCGGCAGCGGCTGCGGTTTAGCACGGATCACGGCTAACCGCCGAATGGTTACAATTAATAACCGCCTAGTAGTTACAGCACCTTCGTCCTACTCCGGCCTCCTCATCCTCAAAACCTACTGCCAACTGACAGTGGCCCTTCCAGACAAACATAAGGCACAAAGTTGTTCGGCCATTATATGTCACAATCACAAAACACATTTGGGCCAATGTACTCACGAAGGTGCTTGTAAGCCTCGGCCGGCAGCTCAAATTGGCCAGATAGAGGTATTACTGTGGGAGCCCACTACTCGGCCGCGACCGTATCAGAAACACCAGATACTCGCAAATAACAACGCGCACACAGAAAATAGCGCCCAAGCCATTGCATTAGGGTACATAGCACGCGCACGGCGGGTATATACATCCACCATCGAAGCTGGTTTATATAGCTGGATAATGGTTATAGGCCCTCCGGCGAGAAGCGGCGGGTCGCAACAATATCTGTACAGCCTGCTGAATGCTCTGACGTCAGATACCTACCGTCTTTAACGGCCCTGGCGCGTCACATATCATCAGCCAGAACGTGCAGATGTGTAAGTTACCATAACCCCGAATACCTACCTTCTTTCTGCCATGGGGGCACTCGGGCGTCCCAGCGGGCATCCGAGCAACGTATCGGGGAGTATTCATATTAATATTATTAGTGTTAATAATGAAGACGGGAAATATCTAGCTAGCATGGAAATTACAGAAGTAAGACCCCATGCATGCTAGGCTCGCAACCTGATAACTGCTGTTGGGTAATTAGTTATGCACGCGCAAACGAAGGGGTATATCGTTCCAGTGCGTTCCAGACGCTCCTCGCAGCTCGTTCCACAGCCAATGCCCTCTTGCAGGACGGCCGCGCTAGTCAGCCACTTCTACCTGAACCACCAAATAGACGGCAGTCCGCTAGTCAGCCAGCAAGCCTGACAGCTAGCCGCGGTTTTGAGCAGGAGAGCATTTGTCTGGAGAGCAACCGAAATGCTCTCGTGGATAAAGAGCAAAGGAAGAGCAGCCAGTTCGCAAAAGGACATCACACCTTTCTTCAGCGCCCCCCGCACCGAAAGACATCGGCTAGGTAGTGTGCGCACGTTACCACCTACTAGAGGCCAAGTAAACTGCAAAATGGACCCCAGCCATCACTTCGAGATTAGGGGGCTAGGCTAGCCAACTCAGCAGCAGCAGCAGCAGCCAGGAAGTGAAGAGCAGATGTTAAAAGCATCAAGCCCGCCTAGGCTGCAGTGTTGGGCCTGTCGACAAAACAAATAAAAGAAAACCCTAAGTACTGCTACTGGCGGAAAAGATGCCTCGCAATGAACCTCATTTAAAGAGCGTAGGTACGGCATCATGACGTACACTCAGACGAGTCGGTCTCTTGAGAGCATGGCATAGTTCGGCCAGGGGGCCGGTGCTCTGAATGGGTGTTTCTTTCTATGCGATGGCAGGCCATGCATGCATACATACATACGCACACGACAACAAAATGTACCGGCAATAACGTTTACCGATGCGATATGTATGTATATATGTTCCTATAGTTGAGCTTGCTCGACAAGGGGCATCACAACTGGACCATGTAGTCTAGAAATGGTCCGCAAAGGAATCCCGGGTGATGCCAGCTGCCTGCGTGCGATCGATGACGCCGTGGAAGATTGAATGCTCAATAGCGCCGTGCAGATAGCGATGTGTACGCACTCACTCTTACTTCATACTCCGACATCCAAGATTGCTGCAATAGTACAGAGCAAGGCCTTAGACAGTCCACAAATTACTCCTGATGACGCCGCAAGATTGCAACGTAAATTATGGTCGATTACGGATACAACGAAAGGATCTTATTGAGTTTCCTGTACGGCGCACTGCGCACATAATATTCATTCGTACCATGGTGCCTGCCCGCACAAATGGCACCATGTTGCACTTCAGGTAGTTTTAATAATAACGATGATGGATTAAATTCCTCCTTGATAATTGTGTCACCTTGCCCAGAGCTATCAGCCACATGCTGAAGAGGTCGCCGATGATGATGATGATGATGATGATGATGATGATGATGAGCAAGCACGTTGCCTCACGGCCCCCTTCGCCACCGTACTCCTGATGTACATGCACACAATTGTGGTCATGTGGAAAACATAGGCCAACGTTCCAGCCCTCGCAGATAGGCGCAACGCAAGCAGCGATAATGCCCCCCTTGCAGCTCGGGCCATTGGGGCATCAAATACCACAAAACATCTTTCCTCCATTCCTTCGGAAGTAAGCGGTAGAGCAGTTATCCAAATTTCAAATCTGTTAAGCTTATGAAAACATGAAAACATGTACAGCATGGAGCAGCGAAATTCCCGGCGTCTCCGGAGATAGATTTCCTCTCCCCCCATCCTGAAGTCCCCCAGCGCGACCTCCCGCTGCACGACATATCAACACAGCAAAGAAGTCAAATGTACAACCGCATTGATTGGGCAAACCAATCTTCCCCGCCAACAACTAATCCCTTAATGCCAATTAATAATAAAAGCTTCTGCTTGGGAGAAGAACACCCCAAGCTGCTGGTGCCAAGCTTATGCGCACAAGCATAAAGTCTTGGATGCATTCAGGTCAGCCGTACGGCTGTACGACCACCGACTGGCCGCAGCCAGGGCCAAGGCAGTCATGAAAACAGCCCCAACCTCCATCCACACAACGACCTGACTGTCGCGGGGTTCGCAATCAAACTTCATACGAACGCGCTCTTCATCAGTTCGATACGGCGTAGGGCCTAGACCACAGCCTAGAAAAAGCCCGTGTGCCAGCTCAGCATACAATTATATAAATGCTTCAGCAACAAACCGCATTGGGATTGGATGGTTATGTGCACGCTGGGTGCACGCACGGTTGGTGCACAGGCCGGATTGGATTGGACCTTTCTACATGGATTGCTGTTCTTCTCGCTGTCCTTGTTGTTCTGCTTTTGAATTTGCTTCTCCTGTTGGCGGAGGAGTTCATGGAAGCCATGGCACGACGGCAAAGACCCCTAGGGCAGCCAGTCGCCGTAGTGCCGCACTGCTGCACCTCGCCGGCGCCCCACAGCGCGTTGCACAGCACAAACATTCCTCTTCGACAACACATCTTTACTTTTCCCACGTCCTTAATCTCTTTTCATAAACTCTGAGCCCTCCAAACAATCAATCTCTCGCTTAAAAAATCATTCCGGCATGGGCATATCCAGTAGGCGTTCGGTTTCGCCAGTACATCTACCATGCGCGGATGTGAACGCATATTTCTCCACGTGGTACGACATGAATACTTCCCAAAACTGTTTTCCTCAACCCCCATAAGGACGAGCTCGATCCCCGACCAATGAAAAGAACAAATCGACACAGGTCTAACAAATCAAAGCGACCGGGTTGAAGGTACATCGGTACACTGTGTCCTGAATGCGCAATCCACAAAATTCAGTGCAACAGTAAAGGCCGGAAGCAACGAGCCAACAAGGCTTCAGACGCCAAGCAAGCAGACGCCAGTATCCGGCACAGTATAGATACTGACACACGCCACTCACCCCGTAGGAACGCAACCAATAATCACAAGCATATAAGCCACCGCTTTGCCGGCGCTGCTTAGCACCCGTAGCGCCCCTCTCGCTCATTATCTCACACACAACCCGCGACCCGCGACCCGCGAGCAACAGCAATAGCAACAGCAACAGCAACAAAGGCAGTGACTCGCGGACTGCGCCCCCTGGCGACATCGCGTTCACAGCGGTTCAACCTTCGCCACATCATCAGATGAGGTTCATCGTGCCTCGGAATATGCTTCCAGCAGCAGTAGCAGTAACAACAGCAAAAGGAGAAGCAGCCGCCGACATGGCCTCGGCATTAGCCCCGCACTGCTGAAGCCCATGCTGCTGCTCTTGAGCTCCCACAGCACTATGGTATCTGCCATCCATGGGGTCCGCCGCGAAGCGACAAGGCTGCAGCCGCCGCGGCTCCGGGGCAGCTGACACGGCTCCCGAGAGGCTGCTGTGGCCCTGGCCCTGCGATGTGCGCAATGACCGGCTGCTGCGTGATGGCAGCAGCGGCAACTGCAGCTGCGGGGAGCTGGCGGCGGGGGTGCTGGACGACAACGGCGACGACGGCAACGCGCCCATCACGGCGGTGGCGGTGCCGGAGGGTACGGAGCTGACGGCGGCATACACCATGCCCGTAGCGCTGACGGCGCAGCAGCGCTCGCTGCCTGGGGAAGTAAGTCGCAGCCCGGCGGGAGATATCTGGTCCTCGACCGTTATGAATCCAGCAGCTACTAGCGAAGACATGGAGTTGGGCCGCATGGGCGCGCCGCCGCTGCCGCCGCCGCCACCGCCGCCAGTGGAGGACAGGTTGCTGGAGCTGTTGCGCAGGAGAGTTCGGGAGCTGGGGAACGAAGGCGGGAGGAGGGCAGGCAGGCTGGAGGCGACGGAGGAGCCAGGGGAGAGGCAGTTGGAGGTGGGGGTGGGCGAGCCGACGTGCTGAAGTTGAGGGTATTGGGGATGCTGGAGCTGTGCGCCGAAGCTGGTATGCCGTGTAAGGCTGGGGCTGGGGGTGGCGAGGTCGCTGGGGCGTCTGGACATGGAACGACGGCGCATGCTGTCATCCCGGACGGGTTGCGACTGCTGGCCTGTGGTGGGGCAGGCTTCGGATTGTTGAGTTTGCTGCTGTTGTTGCTGCCAAGGAGAGAAAATGTTGATGGGCGTGGCGTAGCCGGCAGGGGAGGCGACCTGCTGCATTGGGCTGGTGCAAGCTGACGGCGAGGAGCTGCCGCCGAAGCAGGTTTGCAATGTTGGACGACTTTTGTTGCTGGTGTTGCCTACGTCGATGCTGATTCGGCGGCACCCGTTAGCGGCAAACGGGTCCAGACTTCTCCTGCGCATCGACGCAGGGGACATGCCGAGGTTGCTGATGGAAAGGGGCCTGGGATCACCGCCGTCCAGACTTTCGTGCTGTAGCTGTTGGCGCATTTCCAGCGATGCGCGGGGCTGTTGACGGCCCAACGCGGACGTGGGCTGTAACGCGGCATTGGAAGCCGGTGCGTGGAACATTACCGACCGCCGCGATTCGTCGTGCGCAGGCGTTGGTGGTCCGCTGAGATTAACAACGGATACGCGCCGTGTCACTTCCTCCGTGTTGCCGGTGTCTAAGCCGCGCATGGACTGTGAACGGTTGCGCAAAAAAAAGTTGGACAATCTTGCTCTTAAACCAGGCGCGTTTGGTAGTGAGACTTTTCTTGGAGAAGATGGTGCTTCATACTTCTCATCGCCGTCGTCCTGCTCCTCACTGTCGTTGTCGCGCTCTTCAGACTCTACGGGGGAGGGCAAGGCGCTAGCTCCGACGGGCGCGACAACCGCCGGTTGAGAGGCGCGATCTTTCAGGCTATCCTCTATTTGCTCGAGTAATGCACGCGACTTCTCATACTCCTGAGCCAAGTCAGCCAGAAGGTCGGTACATGCCATTTCACATGCCATCGTCGCAAATCTGCAATGTCAAGGTGCAAGGTAGGTTAAAAAATAAAACACATACCATCAGAGCACAGGTTATAATCAAGGCTATTCCAACCTGGAAGTGTTCTACACGAGGTCGTAGACCCGTACGCATGTGGATTAGCTTCGCGCTGCGACGCATTACGCCCTAACTTCGTAGTTGCAGCCCGCCAACTATTTAACGCCGCATTCAAAATTAATGCTTAGCCTTTATTGCATTAGTCACTTGTATGTTTCATTACTGTAAGTGAGGCAATCGGGTAATTATGTTCCCAGCCCACTTTCACCGTCGAGTTTGATGAGCGTGATGAGTTTTGTTAGCTTTTATACAAGAGTGAAAATGTTTGGGGGTTCTTACCCATCCAGCTCCCACATTGGGGACGAACCCCAAACCCCAAAAACTAACGCTTAATGTAAACGTAAAGGGCATTAGTAAAAGAGAGCATAATCGGGAAACGAATGCTGAAAAAGACAGTTAGATCGTAGACACCACAGCTTGTCGGACCCGATTCGCGCCAGTATTGTCAAAGCGACAGGGTGTCCAATATGCTACAAAACGACGGGCTGACAGGGATAACTCTTGACATGGTGAAGCCACTGGCAATGTCACACATACCAAAGGCTAGGGTAGTCGGCTTCTTCGAAGTCGAAAAGGGCTCGGCCCCGGTGCAGCCAGTCGCCCCGCAGTATTCCGCAGGGGATGCTGTACGGCACTGGGCTGCAAGCGAAGGAACTGTGTCGCGTTTGGACTATACGCGCATCATTGAGGATAGCTGTTAGGGCCGGGTGCGGCCGCCGGCGGGGTTGGAGTGATGTATGAATCTGGTATATATACACTTGCTGCTAAGGAGCCAATGCAAATCCTCTCGAAAGGTGTCTCTGCAGGGGCTGCAGAGACGTGCGGGAACGGCTTTTGACGAAGCAGCAGGTGACAATGTGTAATACACCACCAACCCCACCAGGTCATGGCCCCCGGTTGCCCGGGCAATATAATCGTGGCGACCTCTATCCAAGGCAAAAACTGCGCAACTTTTCTCCACAGCTGCTGCAAAGGTGGCTGTTGTGGCTGCCAGGGGAACCATTCCTCCTGAAACAGACCGATCCCCTGATCCTGCCGCCACCACCAACAGGCCAAGAGGAGGATCTCCTAATCCGGATGACCAAAGTCCGGAGCCGTCAGCGCCGCCATGTTTAATTTGTCTTGATATCGTTGACCAAGTGGTTGTACACCAGACAAGATGATTCATCCAAACATCAACAGTGACCGGGACCGGTAATTGCGGAATGCAAGCCGCTGCTGCCTTAGATGATATACAGTTGCTGACCAGGAACTAAGTTGATGCGCCGTTGATCCGCTAGAGTTGGTTGGATGCTGGTGGTGAGTTGCCAAACCCAACGAATACATTCTGAAGTCGGATGGGGTGACGGATTAGGGGCCCCTCTAGCAGGGGAGAGCAGGGACTGCCCCGGGAAAGGGGGCCGCTGGCGAGGTTAACCACCCTGTAACAACATACAGTGGCCCCAAATCGCCCTCACATCTGCTGACAGAGATGCAGCTGTCAGGTCATGCAGTTCCCGACGCAGAAGGTGTGGTATTGGAGTTCAAGGACCGATTGATGAATGGTTGGAAACATGCGCGTCTAGATGTCCAGCCAGACGTGTACCCGTCACACGGCAAGCAACCTGGAATTCACATGGCGAAGTATAAGCATTGGATGGGTCTGGCGGCCGAACAAGCGGGCAGGAAGGAGGTGCTCCCGCATACTATAACGTTTATCCCGCGTTCAGCGAATTGCAAGCTTATGCAGTTTAGGCTTTGCTGATGGGCATTGGCGGCGAACAGAGCACGCAAGGGACGGCGTTATATACCTAGGGAGGAGCGAGTATGTCCCTGTTGCGGCACTGATAGCCATATTGAAGATGAGCAGCACGATTTTCCACGCTTCGAGCATATGAAGGACGCTATGAAGTGGGAACCTGAACGTCTGGCAAGGATGCTGGAACGTATGTGGTTCCACCGCAACTCTATCGTTCCCTTTGGTCGTTAGTATCCTTTATCACTTGCTTGGTCTGAAGTGCGAGGTACGACGGTGCTTATAGGCGATCAGGCAGCCCTTTATTGGGCGTTTTGCAGGTACGGGGCACCCCACGACCATGTAACACCCACACACACAGTTCACAGTCCTTAAACTCAGGAAACAAGAGTACGGCATCTATAGTACGAGCACAATGTTCTTTGGCCCAACGTTCAACGGTTGTTGGCAGATTGGGACTCAAATGAGATTGACATTGATGTGTCCAGGAGACTTCCCGGGGTTTGTCGAAGGAATGAAGCGGTTCATGGCCCTGGAAAGCCTTGTGTAACGGTGTGCCGCTACCTGAAGTGGATGGGTGTAGCATACGACCCAAATGTGCCTAGGAAGAAGCTAGAGCATTTAGGGGGGTGTATGGCACGGAAACATTGTACGGCACTGGTGGCAGCGTTATTTTTTTGCGGAATATATTCCGAATTCGGAATAAAAAAATGTTCGTGGTCCTGAAAGTTAAGAATAAATAATGTTCCAACCGTACAAGTTCATTCCTCCAGCCAAAAATGGACTGTCCATGCCAAACCCGCTAGAATCTTACAGGAGACATACATGTTACCCATATCATAGTACTTTAATGCCATGGATACTGTTAGGAAGCTCACGCCCGAAAGTCAACGAGGAATCGGACTGTTTCTGACCGGACCAAACGCTGCAAAACATTCGGACCCGAAGCTCCCAAAGCATTGAATGCCATTAAAGCAGATACTAAATTTCACTGAAGCCATTAGCGACGTTAATGAAGACGGTGTAGGGGTCGTAGGCAATGTGGACGCAATGCTGCAGCCAGCCGACGACAATGACGCCACTCCGGTTGTCAACAGCGAGCGGGGCAAACATCAATGTTACTCATATGGATACAATCGCGATGGGCCAGGAAACCGGTTGCGTTTGGTGGTTCCGGTTAATTGCTGCTATGCATCATTACTTCTGCAACTTGGAAAGTCGTGTAGTGTTATCTTTCAACGTGATGCAAGACGAACGATGGTGAACGAACTCTATTCTCGATCAGTGCTTGAGAGATTGGTGTGCGCGTGTTGCGACATTCCCCAAACCCGGAGCGCCTTACAGATTCGGAATACCTTTATTCCCGCGACTAAAAAACTATTCCTCCGTTCGGACTGGAAAATTAACCGGCAGAAATAAAAAAAACACTGTCTGGTGGGCATCCGCCTAGGTCAAAGATTGGATCTTGATGTATCTCGGTTTCACGTCATCAGTCAGGGCGCAAATCCCTTGCCGAACGGACGTGCCGATTAGTTGTTGCTCCATAGGTAAATGCCATTTTCTGTTACAAAGAATGAAAGAGAGAAATGGACTGAGAGGCCCGAAGAAGACGGGCCTAACGAACGGAGAAAGAGACACCGCAACTGAACTAACGCGAGGCTGCGCCAGAAACGGGCGGGCGGGCGGGCGCGCGCTGAACAACAAAAACAAGATAAGCTAACCAGCTTAATGCGCGCAATAAATGACGGCCCTGAGGACACGGGCCGTTGCGAAACAGTTAGTCTAACAGTTACGCATTGGGCCTTACGCCCAACTAACCCAGCTTACTTACGCAAGCTCGCATTAGTTGTTGCTCCATAGGTAAATGCCAAAGGAGAAGATACCCCCTCTAGCGGAAATAACAAACAAACTGAGCACCAAAACAGCGCAACGCGACGGGCCGCTAGAGGGACAAAGGACGCGAGAGCTGCCAGACAGGCACACACAGCGACACGAAATAAAGCTCCCCAAGCAAAACGCCTCAACGACCTCCAAACGATACTCCAGCAGCAAGGACGGCGGACACGCCATCTCTACACAGGCAAAAGAGCAAACAAACAGAACGCTGCCAAAACCACAAGGACGAGGTCAAACCAGCGCTCTCCAACCGCGCACAGACTGACCCACCGGCCACAAACGCGACGGATCCC